GCAGCTTTTATTGGGTACCTACTTTTAAAAGAAATGAAAATGAAAAACATTTTAAACAGTTTTTAAGAACCTTATGCATTTTTTAGAGTAAGGAGCTTTGAGTTGTTATTTAGTTTTGTTGTAGGTTGGAGTCTAAGAATGGGGATAGTAAATGTTTTTGCTTTTCATTTTGTCAAATAAGACATTTAAGTGCCTCTCAGTTGTGGAGTGGGTGCTGATATAAAATTTTATAGATTAATAATATTATTTTATAAAGCCATATTTAAGTGGTGAGGATGTTGTAGATTTATACACAGCTTTCAGTTTATTAGATGGACATATCTAATTCATACTGAAAGCATTTCACATACATGTTGGACCTTTAATTCCTCACGGTCAGCAAGTCTCTAGTTATTGCCCTCTCTCTATAAACCGCCTGCCTGTTTTCATTTAGTAGCTTGGAATCTGAAACTGCATGTCTTAATGTGCCTGACTGGATATCACTGTAGGGCATTTTTGGGACATGTGGATAGGTTTCTCTAAAAGCACTCAGCTGTAATTGGAATGGACTTTAGCTGGAAACTTCTGATAGAGGAGGAAGAGGTGGATTTTATGAAGCCACAGGCAGTATAAAAACTTGCTCTGCATTTTATTGAGATACCTTGATATTTTATCAAATTGTTTTAAATACAAGCATGTCTTTAAGGAAGAAACGAAGTGTTAAAGATCTGTGACACTGTGGGCAGTCTCAGTCGTCCATGGTATAGTTGCGAATTATAACTTTTATATAGATGTAAATCTAATATAACTCGTTTGTCAGAATAAGTTCAGAATGTTGTCTAGTTACCCCGAGTACTGTTATACATATTAATTTCATGTTTTAATTTATGCAGATCTTTATAATTATGAAGGAAGGGATTATGTAATACTTGAAATCATATGGTCAATTTTAAGCAAATAGGTCTTTCATTTTTGTTTCTGCATAAACTGCCTTTTGTATATCAGAAGATTAGAACTTTAAAAATTGTACTCTATCTTATTGTGCCTACTTCCCAGAATCAGTTACCAAACTAATGTTGAAGAAATACATACAGGTTTATAGATAAGCATTTGCAAGTTTTAGAGGTTTATATTAAAACAAAATGGGATTTCTCAAATTTGGTGAGTGCTTACTAAATGATGTTAAATTCTGGAAAGTAAGGGACGCTAAATCACTGACATGCTTTTGGTAGTTTATTTACATTTTAACTTCCAAGTGAATTGTTTTCAATTAAAAAATGAAAATTGGTTGAGTCTGGATTTTCAGTTATAGCTATTGTATTTTAATACTATTTAACTAATACCCCACTTTTTAATGATTTCATCTTTTGAATAAAATGTAAATTTTGAAGTTTTGTAATTAACCCCCTTCTAATTCTGATGTTACTGATTTGCTCATGTTGAGCAGGGAATCGATTTTTTTGGCCTGCCTAAATATGTTAATTAATACCTGAGGCACCATGGGATTCTGGAAGTCTAGACCTGAACTCATCTGTTTTCTTGTTGCGTAACAAATTACCCCAGAAATAAAGGGCTTCAAACAACAAACACTTATCATCTCAGTTTCCGAGGGTTAGAAATCTGGATGCAGCTGTCCTGGGCGCCTGTGGCTCAGGGTCTCTTGTGAGGTTGCAGGTAAGCAGTCAGCAGGGCTGCCGCCTCATCTGAAAGCTCGACTGGGAGAGATCAGCTTCCAGGCTTGTTCGCGTAGCTCTTGGTTACATTCAGTTCCTTAGGGGGTGCTGGACTGAAGGCCTCAGTTCTGGGCCACGTGGGCCTGTCTCAGTATGGGCAGATCACAGTATGGCAACTGGCTCCTCTCAGCAAACAGGCACGAGAACCGAGAGCAGGTTGACACCCGAGAAGCAAGTTCTGGTCCTTTCATGAGCCCGTCTCGAAAGTGGTATCTCATTATTTTTGTCGTTATCTATTTGCTAGAGGCTGCCCACCACAAGGACTTCAGTTTACTTTATAAAGATTAAAAAAGAAAAAAAAGAACAAAGCAAAGAACTCAGATACTCAGAGTAATTTACTAAGCCTCAAATCTCCTGAAGACCCTAGACTAAATCTTAAATTCACTGGTCCTTAGACCTTGTGTTGTTTCTATAACATATGATTTTCTTGGAAAATATAAATATTGATACAGATGCTGAGGTCACTATTGTAAGAAATATATTAAAAACTTTCAAAGTCATTTTGAATTGACCCCAGTTTGTCATCTTAAAAAAATGGCAGCCAAACATATATACATTTGTAATAGGCGTACACGTGTGTGTACATATGTGTGTGTGTGTATATAGTGTGTCTATATATACGTTTATGTCTGTGTATATATATTTGTCTGTGTGTATATATTTCTTAAGAACCTTCTCAGAGAAAGTTCAGCATTAAAATCTTATAACATAAAAATTTCTATACAAGTTATTAGATAACTTGCTGTATACCGAGACTGTTATTGCTTTCTAGATAATTTTGGGGGGTCTTACAAAATTAATTTTTAATGTAAACTTTTCCAATTACAAGATCCCATGATTATATGTTTATAAATTTGGGGTTTCCAGCCCTTCTTTGGTATCCATTTTTAAATTAAGTGTAGAAGAGATTTGACACATGAAAAGAAATGCAATCATGGGGACGAGGCCAGACCTAGAAGGAAACAAATCCAAACATAACCCAGGAATGTGTCAGGATGGTGACTGTGTTTTTGAAAATTTTATGTGAAATTTTCATGTGCATTCAGTTTTTATAATGGTGATACTAAAACCACAAACAAAAACGTCTAGCTAGCTAATCTTCCTGTATACTTTTTTCGTACCACCTAGGAGAATACGTATGTGTTGCATCTCTGGGCTAATTTTATTTCACAGAATGGGGACAAAACTGTTTAAAACCTTATTGGAGGAAGGAGAATATTATTAAATATTAATCTGAAAGTTCCCACTTTTGCTGGAATTGTCTTAGAACTCTAGAACTAGAAGGGACTTTGTTCAGCCTGGATCTGCACTGTCCAGTGTGGTCACCACTGGCCACATGTGGTTATTCAATTTAAATTAACATCAAAGAAAATGAAAATTTACTTTCTCGGTTGCGTTAGCACATTTCAGGTGCTCGGTAGCCACATGTGGCTAGGCGTTACTGCCTTGGACAGCACAGATGATAACATCTGTTTATCATCGTAGAAAGTTCTATGCTGATCTAGATCTGCTCCATTTTATATTTGACTTTGATTAAGGACATGTGTTTAAAGTGTTAATCATTGAGATCACTAAGTTGAATTTTATTTCTTCATTTTCATTTTCCAGTTTTTGGAGCCGTGAGGGATACAGCAGTTCGGTCAATATTGTTTTAACATGCTTCAAATAAATCAGGTGAGTTTGTGTTGAGGCCTGTCACACTTATAAGGTGCTTGGGCCATAAAACGTGGACCATTTTCACTCAGCTTTTCTATAACCATAACCTGACCGCCGCTTTGTAGAGCAGTGCCATGCTGTCTGTTCTCCACAGCGGATTGTGCGGGGCGGTTGTTTGAGGATTGTACCAATAGTCCTGAATGCCGATGACTTTTAGGAGCA